GTGTTAGAACGAGCCGTTTTAGGTAGGCGTGGCTGATTCTTAACTTTTATAAAGAATATCTCTTTGGATTTGAGACTTTAGTCTTTGCAACTTTACAGATCTTCTTTATGCACCAAGAGCTTGTAACACTCCAAAGAGAAAGGAAACATTTTAATCGCATCATATGACCCCTTTAATTATAATATTTCTAGCGTTATTTTTAAACGTTTAGTCAAACAATAATATAATATCTCATGTCTAAAATCAGGGCTTAAAAATGACTTGGTTTTAAGTAAAAACGATAGGCTTTTTTCCGTTACATTTCCCGAGTTACAGGTTAGAACGAAATAAAACATTACTTAATGAATTCAAGGCACTGTAATTTTCTTATCCATTTGACGTAAAACTATTATATATAATTAATTTATATAGGCACATCGTCATATTCGTGAATTATGATTTTTTTAAATGAAAATTTCGTTTTATAGAATAGCTAGGGTAGCCTATTCGTTATGTTAGTATATTGCTTATGACCAGGGGTGTCAAACTCAGTTACTGAAGGGCCGCAGCCCTGCAGAGTTTAGTTCCAACCCTGCTCCAACACACAAACCATGTTTTCAATTGGGCCTGAAGGACTTGATTAGCTGGATCAGGTGTGTTTAATTAGGGTTGGAGCTAAACTCTGCTGGGCTGTGGCCCTCGAATTGAGTTTGACACCCCTGCTTATGACGAAAATTCATTAGCCTAGCCTATTTGTTATGAAGTTGATTTAAAATTCTTCATAACAAATTTTAAGAAGTTAAGAAAAAAGGAAATTAGCCTGTAGTCTGATCTATAGGCTAATTTTCTTAACTTTTATTAGACAGCAGATCGAAAAAAATAATAATTCTTGATAATCTGATAATCTTTAAAATGAGAGAAATCACTGACATAATTTAGGCTATACTTTCTTCGACTGCAGAAAAAAACCGAAACCATTTAATTTGCAGTGTTAACTTATGAATTAAATGAAAAACAAGAAATAAATCACAACAAGAACAATAGAGTTTTTTTCTTGTAATCAAGAAAAAATATTTGACAAAATTTCAAAATAAATGCTTGCTGAATGATATTTGACAGTGAACGCATCTCCACTGCATAGGTGTCAAGTCGCAAATATTAATGTTTTAGGCTACAATGCATGGCGTGTGTGTTTCACTAACACTATATTTCCAGTGTAAAACGTGTGATTAATCCGTGTCTAAAGCCGTGTCTACATGCGGTGACCACACGGGAAGAGGCGCGAGGCGACAAATCTTCTACAGTAACTGATGCCTCCTTCTTTCCCGAATATTTGAAACATGCGTTGTATGTGTTGAAAGTGAAACCTAAAAAAACAGCGCGCATAAGAAAGCCATTGCACGCTTTCGCAAGCTTCAGCAAATACACGCGATCACAGATTGCACGCTTAACAACCCCCCACGTGAAATTGAAATAATAACCGGTGATATAAGATTTTGGCCATATTGCCCATCTAAATCATTCATCCCACACTATCAACAGGCACGTCATGTAGGCTACACTTCTTGTACTTCGTTTAGGCACCACAAGGTGTCACTGTGGCCTCAAAGCTTACACCTCGCCTACTCTGGCTTCCATAGTATTTTGTCATGCCGCGCCACTCGCGTCCGGTGTAGACACGGTGTAACATTGGTTTTGCTTTGTTTCACAGAACTAATCGTTACCTGGGATGCGTATGTATGTGTGGGGCGGAGCTATCAAAATAGGGGCGAGACCCTTTTGGGGTAGGGGCGTGTTTGTTTTGGTGATTTCAAATGTCAACTTTGGCTACCATAAATCGCTTACCCCACCTTTAAGTGCAAGTATCTGATCATATATAGAGCCACAATACCAACTCTGACAACAGTGTTTAATTATTAAAAAAAAAAAACTTTTCCCCCTTTTTTTCTTTATATATTAGGCTATATGTTTAGTGGTGTGCCATGTTTTTTTGTTTTTTTTTATCAAAACTATGCCGCGACAGAAAAAAGGTTGGGAAACACTGATCTAATCGATAAACAAGCCCAGCTGCTGCTGAGTAAATTCTATCTGACATTCAACAATAAACACAGCAGAGCAGAGGAAACCATTTTGATATGTTGGTTGCCTTTTTAAGCTACCAAAAATAAAATCGATCTGGTCTTTGGTGTAGCGTCTGTCATAATGGTCTGATTACAGGCACAGACAGTCTGTCAATCACACAACACAAAGAAACAGTTGCTTACCTCACGCCTGTGACAAATTTCCAGGCATCTGTTCTGTTTGTATTCTCTTCGATGTATTTAAACATTGCCACACAGTGTGTTGTTGTTCGGGTAATCACAGCTGTGCTGATATTATAAATCCAGTAGAGGCATTTCTGAATATGTACAAATCGGTTTAATGAATGATTCAATCATTCATTCCTAACAGTTACTCTGAAGGAACCGGTTGAATTATTTTTTTTTTCAATTACCGGTAAAGACCATTCGGGCTGTGTCCGATTATGCATACCCACCTACTAGTAAGTGAAAAACAGTATGTGAAAATTCATTCAACAGTAGGCAACTTCCTGCGAAATGCAATGTCTTGCTTTTAGTTGCTGAAGAAAGCAGTGTTTTTGAAAAAAATTTTTTGAGTGAGTGAATGATTGAATGAATGACAAGGAGCTTCCATGTTTCTTTTCTGAATGAATCAGTGTTTTTGAATGAATCATTTGAATGAATGATTCATTGGCTCACCCATAAAATCAGTCACTTGATTCGTTCCGGAATGCATCAGTGTTTTGAACGTATCGTTTGAATAATGCACACCGTCAGTCTGTCTGCAACACTTAAACAGCATATTTTTCTCCCACAACTGCTTCTCAGTTTGACAGCTAGAGCAGAATGAAATATATATCCACTTAAAATGAAAGTGGATATGACTGACCATTATGCAAATGATGTGTGTGCCTGAAACCACCGTCTGAATGATGTAATAATTTTAAGCTTGTTTTCATGTTGTTATTGGGGAGTTTGTAGAACTGTGACAGACCACATGGAGTAAATTTGTAATGTTTCCGAAGTTTTTCCCACAGTATTTTTTCAATTAGTGCAATGCCAGTTGTTTTGGAAGAAAAGCATCTGCTAAATGGTAACTACCACAAACCCCCTTAACAGCCCCCAAACATCAAGACCAACATAAAACCCATGAGTAAATGTGAGAGGCGTTAATAGGTTTTGGCTACAGCAGCGTGGGGAAGCCTTTAGAATGAGAAAGAGAGAGAAATAGTTATGAAGGGAGCACAAAAAGAAAATAATACTAAAGGAGGAAGTACAAAAGAACACGTCAGAGAAAATGCCAACAGAAACCACCCAAAAATCAAATGCAACCACCTTTTCTCCTGTAACCAATGTAGACACATGGACCGGAGGATGCAGTGTCCAGAAACATAAACCCTATCCTAAACTTTACATTGTCATTTCTATAATATATATAAGAGAATCTTAAATATGAAAAATGTCTTCAATAGTGTTGGTTTTATTAGAGGAGAAATGTAACAATGTCATCCATTCATTCTTCATAGATTCATTTTTGTTTCCAAGAATGTTGCCTAAAACAAGATTGTCATTCATGAACCGTTTTAACATGTACAGTTAGTCCTGATAAAACAAACAAAACACTGAAAAACAGTTAAAAACATTCATTCACTCACACAAACACACAGATACATGCACGCTCATATCAAGCCAGATATTCCAACCCTTAAAAAGACAGACACAGGTGCTTCAGTAGTTGTGAGACTTCTTGTGTTTTCCAGGCATTTGGTAAGGTTTGTCTCATGCACAGCAGACAAAAACTCTTTCACAGCATGTGCGTCTTCCAGTAAAAAGGGAGATGTTCCAGTCTCTTACTCCTCCCTCATGGGAACGTCTTCTAGAGGTACTATTGCCTCCAAGGAGCCAGTGCTGCAATGCTGCAATGTTGTTATGGAGATAACAGTGTGTAGTAAGAAGAGAACAAGCACACACAGTTTCAATTTACTGCCATGAACACGATTTGTACATGACACCGCTCCTGAAGATAACCTCCTATGCAAAGAGAAGGAGCCCGGGAGGTGTGTCAGAGCACATGCTGCGCCTACAGTGGAGTCACACCCACTCCATCTGACATCACAGCAGTCTGGACCCTGACTGTTCAAATACTCCTCTTGAAACCCTGATGGGAAAGAGAGAAACACTGGCTTAGAACAGGACAGAACATTATACACAGAGCATCGATTCATTTTAGTGAATAGGAAACAAACATTTCTGAATTAATACTTACAAATCAGTTGGAGCAGTTTCTCAATTAATCCGACTTACTCACTAAACAGCAAGTCATTTCCAACTAGCTTTTATTTTTATTTTTATATTTTCAGTTTTCATTTTAAATTTCATTAGATTTTTTTTGTTTTTTATTGGATCTTCTTGTTTTCAACTTCGGTCAGAAATCTTGGTGTAATCTTTGATGACCAGCTGACCTTCAAAGACCACACTGCAAAGACTGCTCGATCTTGCAGGTTTGCATTGCATACCATCAGAAAGATCAGGCCCTTTCTAACGGAGCATGCTGCACAACTTCTTGTCCAGGCCCTTGTCATTTCTAGGCTGGACTACTGCAGTGCTCTTCTGTCTGGACTTCCAGCAAGCACAATCAAACCTCTACAATATAGCAACTTGATTACCATATTCTTCATTCTTTCAAGCAGACATATTTATTTCTATAAATAAATTTAGATTAATCTTTAGGGCTATTACATTTTTTCAGTCAAGAGCAGTGAGTGATTTTCTGTATTTCTGTTGTTGCTTGATTAACATCAATGACTCGGACAATAGCAACTAAATTAGGCTGCTGTCCCTTTAAAACCGAATGCACAGCTGCAATAGATGCAATGTTCTATACACTATGCAATACACGTTCTCCCTATGGTTTACGTTCACTTAAGACGTAATCAACTGCGTTTATGTGAATACTCATCAAAAAAGAAAAATTCGACATCATTTTGTGTTTAATTCTCCGTTCATGCGACGCGAAAGAGTACTCTGTGTGTGTATGCTTCAGTGTCTGCACTCAGAAAACCGAACCGAATTGAGTTCTCTCTTGCGTCGTCAGATTTATCCATATGTCTGCTCTTCTCTTACTCCCACATATTAACATTTTTGAACGTTTTATGCGACGTACAGCAAGTGTATGTTAGCTTATGTCCCGCCGGATCATATGTACGCATCTAACCTCCGAGTCCAAACCACGCAGCAGATTCGTTCAGAATGAATCTCTTCCCAAATCGTCCCTCCCTAACATTTTCGTCTTGTTTTTATTCATTGACGAAAATGTCAATAGATTTACGTCATAGTTTTTGTCATTCAAAAAGAGTTTTAGTTCGTTATCGTCTCGTTGTCATTGGTGAAAAAAATATTGTTGACTAAAATTATGACGAAAATTATTCGCCAACGAAATTAGGCTTGCATATAGAACAGCCACAGGCTCAGCACCCGCCTACTTCCACTCACTACTATGAATCTACATCCCCTTCAGAAGTCTGAGATCCACTAGTGAGCGACGCCTCGTGGTACCATCACAGAGCGGCTCAAAATCACTTTCCAGAACATTCTCGTTCACCGTTCCTGGCTGGTGGAATGATCTTCCCACCCCTATCCGGAATGCTGAATCTCTGACCAATTTCAAGCGTCAGCTGAAAACTCATCTCTTTCGACGCTACTTTACTTCAACCTAAAAAATTTTTTTAAATCGTCTTTATCTTAACGATTTTGGCTCACATTTAACAAAAACCCACCAATTCACTATCTCAAAATAAATGAACTTTTCCACGACATTCTAATTTATTGAGATGCACCTGTACAGTGTAGAGCAAAAACACATAAACAAAGGTCTACATTTCACTGTCTCTTCATATTAAACTGGTTAAATGTAAATTTATTTAATCGTACCCTGCTGCGATACATGAACAGTGTTGATCCGGGATGTTGTTATCTGGGATCGTGACGAACGTAATATGAGACTTCTCCCGCTTGCATTGTGATTTGTAAACCCTCGCTTCCAAATGAATACCCACAATATTTATTTTAAAATCTTTTATATATCCCTCAATGGCATATTTAAGTCCAACTTGAATGGTGGTCCTTCTGTGTCTAAAATTGATCAAAAAGATATAGGGACAAGGTTTTCACACTGACAGCTGTCACTGTGAGACAGTGAGCACCTCTGTTTATTTGTCCGAGTTCGCAACAGTAACTAAGGGGGCTTACCGATAGGTCAATTATAAGTAGCTTTGGATAAAAGCGTCTGCAAAATGACTAAATGTAAAATGTAAATGTATTTAGCGTTATTTCCGTTTTAGTACTTCAGCTTAAACTATTTCATTTAGTTGCTAAGCCCACATTTCAGCTTTTTATGTTTTACATGTAATATTTATATTTTATTAAGTTTTTTTCAATTACAAAAATAATTTTTAATAGTTTGTTAACAATAACAACACTGCATGGACTAACAAATGATACTGAAGGCTTCTGGTGACCTAAATTAGCGTAGTTACTGACTGGTTGTTCTTGTTCATACGACAATCTTTAATCAAAGACACATATTATGAAATTTATCAGTTAATTGTCTAATAATAATGTCTAATAAAACTCTATTTAGGCAAAAGTATGTGTAATTTCAGTAATTTCTCTGGGGAGGAATATTCTTAAGAATTATACTTTCAAATTTAATGCAACAGTCTCAAGAATGTCCTTTTTTATTTCAGCATAGCAATGAGGCTGTGCACAAAGCAAGGTCCATATAGAATTGGTTTACTGAGTCCGGTGTGGATGGGCTTGATTGGCCTGCACAAAGTCTGGACCTGAACACCTTTGGGATGAACTCTCTGTTCCAATTCATCCCAAAGGTGTTCAGTGGGATTAGTGCAGGCCAGACTGTTGCAACAAAGTTGGAAGCACCCAATTCTGTACAATTACTGGAATAGTATAAAAGCCAAACCTGATGATTAGAAGGGGTTGCACATATAACATTGGGCCATATAGTGTATGTATTCTGTGATTACCTGCGCAGAGAAAGCTTGGCAGACCGGCATACAGCAGATGGTCATTGTCAGGTAGGATGAAGGGGCAGGTGGCTGTGACCTCACCACAGTAGTGCCTGCATGGGAGCCACCTCACACACTGTCTCTGGGGAACCGGAAAATATTCTGCACAAAGCCAGGCTTTATACACTGCCTGAAACACACAAATATCACCTCAATCTTATTCAGATTTATGCTGAATACTCAAGCTTGTGGATGGTGCGTCTACACATATCATCTTTTTATCTCATCCGAAGTGTTTATAGTAGTAACGAAAAGTACCTCTCACCTGACACAGGTGTGTTTGCGCGCGCACTGAGTAGTCATCCGCCATGTATTTGCGCGTAAGGACCTGAAACTCCTCATATTTTTCCTGAGCGTGTTGGTCGAGTCGGATGTACGCGTCAACACAAACGCTGCACAGGTCCCCGTCCTCCGGTCCGCCGCTGAACAGGTCACGAATGACACGCGTCATACTGCAGTTGAGCCCGTCAGGACTGGTCATGCTCTCCAGTAGGTCCGCTATTGTGAGCGCGTCGCAAAAGGACAAGCTTAAATTCCGGAAGTACTCCAAAAACGCGAGTGGCGACACCGTGGGCACCGGTACAGAATAGGAGGAACTCACCAAACCGCTCTTTTGCCGGTAAAGCGTAGAGCACGCGGACTCCAAAGGTGCGCGGCGCCGCGCGTCAGCCTCCACGCACTCCGGTCCGTTTTTTGTCAGGTTGCTCAAGAGGACCCCGCAGTCCTCATCGCGAAGGCCCGTCTGGGCGTCGTGACTCGCGTTGCTCCACGTCCTCCGGTGAGTCCGGTCTCTCGAGCGGAGCTTGCCTCCCGCGCAGAGCCAGAGGTGATCGGACAACAGCGCCGTGAAAAAGAGCAGCGACGCCAGGCTCATGCGCCATCTCTGCACCTTCTCCGGCTCCGCGCATGGTTTGTCGATGGGTTCGGGCGCGCGGCAGATTTCTAACTCGGCGTCAAGTTTCCTTCCACACCGCCAGGCGCCCGTGATCATATTTTAGAGGGGGAGACAAAGCGCGAGCTCACACGGGCGGGTCTCCTCCGCAATATTCTCCACCGCGACGTTTACATGATGGCTCGAAGCATCCCTTTCACCTGCTGCTCAAAATTAAGCTGCACTGCAAACACCTGCGTCTGAATTACCGAGACTGTGCATGATGAAGCACATGCCGCGAGACTCCATCACCTACCCCGCATCTCCTTGACAACACATCGTAAGCAGCCGAGTCTTACTCATTCACGGGCATCTCTGAGGCGGCGGGGTGAAGAGCTCGTGCGTGTTTGTATGTCTGTAGGGGGCTTGTCATCTTTCCGTGGTCTCCTTCACTCTGTCGCCATCTTCGTTCGCACTCAGACGAACCCTGAGATGTTTTAATTGAAGGCGGGGGGTGTGGCGCGTGCGCTGTCGCGCACATCCTTGCCTCCTCCATTGAATCTTCATTCACTATGCGCTCACCATTCAACAGTGCGCATTGTTGCCCACCCCACCCGTCGAGGAATCACCCTGCGCGCCTTCCTCGAACAGGGCAGACGCACAGATCCCGGTTACGAGCGCAGAGCATCTTCGCAGCACTGGGGGAATGTGCTTGAGAAAATATATCGATTGTAAACGTTTAAGCCTTTTATCGTCTTCCGGTCATTTTGATGCGTTTTCGGTAAAGAATGTGCTATAATACCACCTCGTTTTAGCAGTGGAACAAGGCTTCTTGACATGTCAAAATAACTGACAGAACATATTTTTTAAAATGAAATAATTTCATTTCTCCAAAATAGCTCCTCACACGGCTATGATAAAATGGAAATAAAAGGCCATATGGGATAAAAGATTCCTTGTAATTTTGAACGTAATTTTCCTCCGAAACATTACATGACAATAAAAACAACTACAGCACTTTCCCAAACACCTATAGCACGGTAACAAATAGTTTCGCGATTGTGAGGATGAATGGATTTGTTGCAAGGGATGTTTAAAGTGGTTATTGACTGCTCCAGTCACAAAGAAAATGTATTTGTGAAATACGCATGAACTAAATTTGTAGCTCTAAGATGTACACACTTCATTTAATGAAAGCAATTTTTCATATTAGGTAAAATATGACAAATGGATTCAAATTAACCAGGAAAAAGTTCTGTCGTATTGTAGAGGGTCGAGATAGATAGAAAGATAGAGAGAGAGGCCTGAATACTGACATATAAGACAAGTCTCTTCATTTCACACTAGATGGCGCTATAAACCCAATTATACTGCGGTGCGAAATTTGGCAGCAGTAGCTGAGAAAACAATGTGGACTGAGAGGCTCTGTTGAGTGTTGAGAGGAGAGGGTGGGATTTATCATCTGGACTTTTGATCTTGTGCTATAATACGCCTTGAGGGACTAGGTGTGTTTCCGGGCCGAGCTCCGTCCAAATCTTTTACTGGTTTTAAATGAACTCTAGAGCATTTTCAAGCCCTGCAGGGCTTACAAAAGGGTTAGTATTGTATTCAAACAGCATGAGTTTTGAGTGCTTTTGTAAGAAAGGGATGACTGGGGCTCCTCTTAAGACTTCTTATTCGGAAATCAGTGTTGACGTTTGAGGTCATGTTAGTTAGTAGCAGATGCTAAATTCTAGACTTTATTCAGAGTGAAATACAGAACACTAATTACAGGGAGAATCCGCACGGAGTTACTTTTTTAAATTCTTTTAGATCACGTGTCTTCTTGTTGCAGTGGCTCTCAAAATTAGTCTTTTCCACAGACAAGCAAGTACAAGTCTTTTTTCTGCACATCTCTACAATAGTATGCAACTATGATGTCCCTCTTTTTTGGTATGGTTCAGTCGGCTGAATTTTAAGCTGAACTATGTTCAAGCATGTTTGTAATAGTACATCAAGACTCAACAGTGAAATGCTGCTTTCTTGTAAATGTCACAATCAAGCCCACATGGGATCTGGGTGCGCGGAATTCCATTGAAATCTGCTGAACCTTCTGTGGAATTCAGTGCGCCCATATTTCATGTGGGTCTGCTCATAATTGTGTGATTTTAAAATTCAGTAGGCTATACATCTTATTGATGATCCATATTATATACAGGCAAGCAGATAAGCCCACAACATGAATGCTCTGTCTTAAAGCTATATAAAGTATTTTCATTATGTATATTATTTGTGTGGAAAATCGCATAATGTGTAATGTAGCGAGCTGCGTTAATATTATGGTCTTGCCTGTATACCAGTGCTGTCAAAATTAGCCCGTTAAGGCATGCAATTAATTTTTTCAGTTTAACGCATTAAAAATATTTAACGCAATTAACGCAGGGGCGGAGCTAGGGTTGGCCACCCGATAAGAGGTCTGCGCGGGACTGCTTTTTTAGTCCCGCTCCCGCAAGGTTCTATTCCGCACCCACCCGTTTAGTACTGGCTTTCAGACAAAATAAGACCAATTTACCCTGATCATCCTGTTTAAAAAGTTTGGCTGTTCAACCAGTTTCAATGGGTTCACATAAGTTTTCTTGCCACTGTATCTTTTCCTCTGTTTTTCTCTTTTTCTCTCTCTCTCTTGATGTGCATACTTTTTAGTTTTGTGCTGTGCTGTTGAGAGGACTGAGAGAACTTTTGTGTGTATGTTCATTTTGTGAATGAATTACCTGACCCCTCCGCAGCTTTATCCAGCATGGGGTCACAGTTGAGAGGGCATAAGCCAAACTTCAAAGATGAGCTAAAGATCAAATGAAATGCACACCAACTAAGAACACACATGCTGGCATTTACTTACAAATGGATGCAGAAACACTTAGTTTCACATGATCACATACACAGTTTTAGGAGACGAGAGAGAGTTCTGCTGAACCAATCACAAATGACAAATAAAAGTGTAGTCTGCACAAAATTGTATGTTATTTTATTATCTATTGTATGTATCTCCCTCGTCCCCAAAAGTAGAAAATATGAAAAATTTAAGAAGGAAAAAGACACATAACACTTTCTCCCTCTGCAGTATTTTAATTTACAGTGGCAAAACAACAACAACAACAACAACAACAACAACAACAACAACAACAACAACAACCTGAACCCATTTGGTAGTTTTTTTTTTTTAATTGGCCAATTTTCTGCATTAATTCTGGTCATAAAATGTCATCTGAGTCACAAGTATAGAGAAACTTAATGTAAATATGTTAAGCTAACAAAAAACAATTATAATCTTTGTATTAATATTCTGCATATTTGAACTCTTTACAACAGTGACTGTATAACTTTGAGATTCATCTTTTCACACTGAGGACCACTGATAACATACACAACTATTACAAATGCATACAAACTTTTTGAACAGGATGATAATGTGTCATTTGTTCTAATTTAAATATCATATATATATATATATATATATATATATAATCAAATGAAATGCACACCAACTAAGAACACACATGCTGGCATTTACTTACAAATGGATGCAGAAACACTTAGTTTCACATGATCACATACACAGTTTTAGGAGACGAGAGAGAGTTCTGCTGAACCAATCACAAATGACAAATAAAAAATCTCATTCTGTTACCCTGATTTTGGAGGAGGACGTTAATTGGTTTTACACTGTTGTTGTGCCTTTGATTAGGGGTTAAAGTGTATATAAGTGCCTTCCTCATCCACATTACTGAGTTACTCATTATGATCCCTGACATCTGACCTCTGATAGATAAAGGTCAAGTTGGGAATGTGCTGAGGTTTGCTGAGAACACCACTTATCAAAAAGACAACTTAATCTGTCTTTATGAGTTTCATTCTCAGAAAGTGAAAGTACAGTGAAAAAAGCAGTGGAATTTGTCCTGTATGTGTGGTGTATGTGTAAGTTTGTGCATTAAAGAGAGTTGTTGCAAGACTGCAGTTTGTCAGAGTGACAGAAGAGGGCTGCAGAATCTGCATTACATACCTCTGTGTGGAACGTGTGTGTGCGTAATGAAATGTGCTGATTGATTTTGTGCTTCGGAATTACCAGAAATACAAACCACTGCTTCATAAGGAGCTATAGAAACCACAAATCTGCACCAAAAACACACATAAGTCAAAGCCCTTCAGTTAAACAGTTTCTTATAACAGTATTCAGGTTCCCTTCAGTCAGAATTGATCTCAGTCTGCTCTGTTAACACTTACAGCACACACAGGAACTACTTTTAAAATGCATTCTATTTTACTGTTTCGAGTTCTCATATTAAAAGGACTACAACTGGACTGCAATCAAAATATAATGTGAAGAAATGAAGAATGTTTCCATGGCTTATTTATGGATATTAACAGCATTAAATCATTTGTAGATGTGTCTTAACTTTTGGACCTTTCTCTTTTTTCTTGTAACCTTTAGTAATCTTCTCTTCAAGTTTGTTCTTCTACAGACAGAGATAAATTTGTTTGTCTCCTTGTTAAACAACTGCTGTGATGTTTATCTTTGGATAAAACGTCTGCTTGAATATCTATTGTGAAAGTAACTTGATGTCTGAATTAGAAATGGCCTTCTTGATGTCAGAGCTGCTCATATTTTCAGGATATTGTGTGGTCTGTTTCCGGTCCTGACAATTTAAATGCATTTATCTGTATTTAATCTGTATGTATTTGTAGTTCAAGAAAATGTATGAGTCTGGGGATTTGGGGTCATTAAGATAAGGTCATATAATAAGTTTGAAGTCAGTAATGTTTTTTTTTTTTTTCTAAAAGAAATTTATATTTTTCTTGGTAATACTACACAGTAAAATCAGCAGTGTAATATTTGCAGTGTTAAAAGTTATTAATTCCCAAAGAGTTGAATTAACAATCTACAGTGTTAAACAGTACTCATGTTCAGTGTTGTTTTATGGTGTAATTTCACTTTTACACTAAAAGTGCGGAATAAAAAGCCCGCCGAATTGTCTGGACTCCGCCCTTCAATGACTGCTGCCTCGCAATGCGACGACGCCATTTTTTCTTCAAGCGACCGAGACGTAAATTGGATTGCTTTTCTCTTTATAAAAGTACACATTATCAACAACATTTTTGTTGATAATTTTACTCAAAATATGATTGGTGGTGAACACATTTAGAAATTACTAACTGCGCGTGTTCTTGTAAGGTTTAGTGTTAAGTTCGTGTTCGTGAGGTGCAGAGATGTACCGTTAGTTACAGAATAGTGTGAAAGTTTCTCATGCTTTCTACTCAAATGAGAGAATTCATCAAATGGTAAATTTATATTTGTGTTTGAAAGCATTGAGTGTGGCATTTAGCAGTTTCCATGCTTTGAAACGGTAATAGTGGGACTGTTAAACATTACGCGCTAACAAATTCGTTTTTGTGACGCATGACACCGTGTTGAAGTATCTGTCTCGCCCGCTGCAAACGAGCAGTCTTTCTGCAGACGCGGAATATTTACCAGTCATTTGATTGACGTTATCTAATGCAAAACTCTGAAATTAGAACGCGTTTAAAAACTTCCATTCGCCATAGGCTTAAGTGTGAACTGCGTAATCTGTACGTTGCTTGTTCTCAGCG